GCGAAAACAACGTGTCAGTTAGAACGGCGACAGCCCGGAACATGTGGCATACAATGAAAATACGGAATTGGATTGTTTGTGAAATTGTTTTAAAGTGATTATTTTGTTACTCTTGAAAATAAGAATGAATCGACAAAATTGGCTTTTTAATTTTTTACAAGTGAAATGTGTACACTTATACGTCATTTGTGTATACTTTAACAAAATGCGTTGATCTTTTGCCAATATCATGCAGTTCTTTTAAGTATTTGTATTTCTGTTAAAACAAATAGTAATAAATATATCTTATGTCTGTAACGTAGTGTGTAGCTCCTAAATTTGGGAGTATTATATACATTGCAAATATGTACATGAAACCAAATTTAGAATATTCGAAATTTCATTTCATAAAATTTGAAAAAAGCACACGTACCCTTCTGACTGATATTGAATAACCTACCTTATACAATTAGTATTACGGTTTTATTTAAAAAGTTAAGAAAACTCACCGATACAAACACATTGTGACTACCATATTCTGTCAAGACGCTAATGTCGTTACTACAATATTTATGTGAAATCTTCTAATGTATAATTAATGTACGTGTAAAATAACGATGTTATATTTTTGAAATAAATACTCTGTGATATGCTAACGAGTAATTTATTTTTAATAATTCACTGTCGGTATAGGTATACTGAGCTGGATGCGAGAAGCCCTAAATCGGATCTAAGTGGCGTGCGATCGGAGAGGCCTATGTCCAGCAGTGGACTGCGATAGGCTGATGATGATGATGATAGGTAAACTAACATTTGTACAACACCTACTATGGATGAAATGGATTTATATTGGGCTGAATACTAAATAGGTACCGACCTGAGGGCTAAGTACGAGTTTATTTCATTTCTACTAAAGTCTACTCGATCGTCACGGTGACCGCTTTCGCCGCTACGATTGGCCCGCACTAAAATCTCCACCAGTCACAACGCTAAACGCGCTCGCCGTCGATGTGAAATACACTTGCACTCGGCCCTCTGATATCTGTTTCATCTCCAATTCTTATTTAATATTACATGAGGTAAGTAAATATCTAATTTGATGTACCTATAAATAATATATGACATAGTCTCTATTGTACCTGCTGAGCCGAAAGTGAAGTGAATGTATCTTTGGCCTCTGCGATACAAGCCTCGAGCTTAGTGCTGTGGCCGCTGTAAAACTTATTGTATCGCATACCTTATTGAAATAAATTTATTTATTTATTTATTTATTAGGATCTCCTACGAAAGATATACACAAGTAAAAAAAACAGTAATTAACAGAATGGGTTTAAAGTCGGTGTACTCCTTCACTTACAGGAGACCACAGCAAGCACAGTAAAATAAAAATTAATACCATCAACCAAGCGAACAAAGTTACAAGCGATGTTAAAAGTTTAAATTCTTAAAAGTAACAAAAAAACATAATTAAAAAATTGTTTTGATGAAATTTAAAAAATACGAAATAAAACAAAAAATAATAATAAAAAAAAACGTTGAGGCTTACATTACATTAAAGCTGTTAAGCATTTCTTATATTTAGACAAACATAGGCATATATCTAATTCAGTCGTTTATTGTTATTCTTATAATAAATGAAATAAATGGTTAAGTAATTAATTTTTAAAATTTTGAACATGTTCAACTATTGACAGTAACTCAATAAAAGTTCGGTCACAATTCAGTTCCGATCAACTTTCGATCTCGCAACTGTCATAAAAGGTATTTTCGTAGTAAAGTATTACTAAGTCTAGCCTAATACCGATTCGATTTTCGGTTACAATACGATATAATGACATTACAGTCAACGTTAGATGTTTAATACTTTACTGCGAAAATACCTTTTATGACAGTTGTGAGATCAAGAGATGATCGGAACTGAATTGTGACCAAACTTTTATTACGAGAATTGGCCTTCGGATTACATTCAACTCAGATTTCTTTTTTTTTTTTTGCTTGTGACCTCCGAAATCCGTTATTTATGAACCCATTTGAAACATTTGGAAGGGTATACCTACTTAATATTTGGTCCCATTGAAGTTTGAGGAAACAATACCACCCGTAAGGGTGAATATCAAGGAATGAATGAATACAGTTTATGACAATTCAATGGCGTAGGTACACGAGTACACGATTCAATGGCGATAATTATGTACGATGCTATAAAGCACCATTTATATAGTCCTTAGATAACAATTAGTGAGCACACCTACATTAGCTCGTAATGTATGCACACTACAGATATTCCCCGATAAGACATCCTAAACATTTTAGCCAACACACATAGAAGGTATTTTTGTTGTTCATTTATAACTATTTGTAAATCTTTTGAAAACTTGTGTCATCATCATCATCATCATCAACAGCCTTTAACAGTCCACTGCTGGACATAGGCCTCTCCTTAGAAAGGAGGTTGAGGAGTTAGTTTTTGTTGTTCATTTATAACTATTTGTAAATCTTTTGAAAACTTGTGTATGGGAAATTAAACCGGAAATTAAAATAGAAGGAACGCTAGTTCTAACTAGCGTTCCTTTTATTTCCTACATCATAAAAAAAATAAGGCGATCGCAGCAGGCCCCTTGATCGATAAGGGCTCGATTCCTGCCAGATCACCAATCGAAAATCAATATTTATCACCGAAAACATAATTATTTCGAAAAATCCATTTGTAATGACATACTACAATACTTTTTTGTCCATTCTAACAAAATAGTGCTCAGCTAAGTTCCTAGGGGTCCCGTTATGCTAATTTGCTCAGGGCCGCCAACAGGCTAGAGACGGGCCTGGATCGCAGTCGAATCAAATTTAGCCAGTTTTTTACTTATTTCTTATTTACACATCATACAGCATGTAGATTTCTATGCTTAAAGAAGAGTCTAAAACTGGAATTTAAAAAAAATCATAAGGCAGTAGCAGTAGGTATATAACAGTTTATTTTTTTTAATACAGTGTGCATTCAATAATATCAAATTATAATAATATAACAAATCATCAAAATATATTGTAACTATATTTACACTTAGCCCTTATGATAATAAAAAACAAACAATAGCCGCAGCACTCTGAATATGTCTTGTGTCTATATTCTGAAATAAGGTGAAACATATTTTAGTGCCATCTAACGAAGACAGGCCGAACTACAGAGTGGGTGTTACTTGTGTCGCGATATAAAAACTTCCCAATATTCCCAACCGTTGGACCGCGGTGCGATGGTCACTTCGCCCGGTCCGAGGATCTTCCCTTTGTGTTAGAGAGACATGACACCCGTTCCTCCACAATATTATTTCTAGTAACGGTAATAAAAAGTGTATATCGCCGCACTAAAGTTACCCCTGCGGCAAACGTTTTTTAAAAACACCTTAAAGACCATTTGATATTAAAAATATAACTATAAGCAATATAAACATGGCTCGTGGCTACGTGGTAACCGAGTTAACACATTGCAAAGTTAAGCATCTTTAGCCAGGTTAGTCTATGGAAGGGTGACTGTGGTGACATACAGGCAGCCAGTTGGTCTGCGCATTATCATTAGCATGTTTATACTCCTCTATGCCTCGGAGAGTACGAATTTGCGGGTGCAATTGTTACGGACAGTTGGAAACCTAAAAAGTTCAACAAGAGTCTTTCTACAGAACTCCGATATCGCCTACTTGGGTTGTGAAGGTCTGACAGCAGCTGCTCCGCATGAAAAAATTCGAAGTTCAGTCGTATTGTATTAGACTTAAAGCCGATTTTTGGGAAAAAAGGCTCGGAATTATGGTCGACGAGATATGAAGAAAACCTAAGGCATATTTGTAGGAAAAACTTGGAAATTTTGCCGCACGAATAACGTCAGTAACATGCAACAAATAAGTATCATACGTTGTGAGATCATCATAACTGATGATCCTTTGATGTGTCTGATAGCTCTCCGAGATTAGACTCGTAAAGTAAAAATGACTGTTTAGACTATAATTTGGCACTTATTGCTCTTCGTTTATCTACAATTCTTTCGTTGGATTTCATCGAGTGTTGCCACAATGCAATTTCAAACTCCAACTCAAAAAAAAAACTTTATTTCATAAAATATATATAAATTATTTACATCTCACACACGGCCGCCTGATCCCAAACTAGGCAGAACCTGTACTATGATAACCAGATGGCTGATAAACATATATATTTTTAAATAGATACATATTAAAGATAAATTACACAGACACAGAACAAATGACCGTGCTCATCACACAATATTTGTCCTGGGTGGGAATCGAACCCACGACCTCCGGTTTAGCAGTCAGGGTCACTAACCACTAGACCAACAGGCCCGTTAACACATTTGAAATAGTCTTAGGCTTTAAAGTCATAGACCAACACACAATAGCAACAATGTGTTTTGTAAAATAATTATTAAAATGAATTCAATCCATTATATGTTGAGAAGTAATTTTCACTCTGTTATTATGGTAACACTGCTAGTGTGTGTGTGTACTGGCAATACTAATGTAAGATATAAAAAAATAAAAAGATGTCGCTTGTAAGCTTGTATTTCGTGTGTTAATAAAAAGTAATAATGTTCAACAGTGCTCGAGTATTTCATTAAGTAAAATCACACTCCACTCAGTATTTAAAGCTTAATGTTTAACATTATATGCCTGTGCTAATCTACAACCGCCAGTTTTTTCAATTACGTCCACCATTTTTTAATTAGGTACAGCTAGATACAGTCGCACCATTAAATATATCACAACATTGTTTTGATGTGTTCCAGTTATTAAGGACTATGCACTTCTTCAGCATTAGAAATATCCTGCGTCGCGGGGGACTTTACAAACATACATGAAACGGACACAAAGAACACCCAGACTCAGAACAACAATTTGTGGATCACACAAAGTGTCGTCCCGGGATCGGACCCACAACACAGCGTAGTAGTGAGTGACGAGGAGACCTCTTAAACCACTACGCCATCCGTGTAGTCGATTTTATTTTATTTTATTTTTTTACGTTACAAGTGTCCGTAGTATCGGCGTGGTGTGATAACACGTCAGGTACTTGGTGATGTTGCTCACTAGTAATATTAATATCGACAGCAAAACCGGCGTTCTGTATATCACTGAAAAGGAAAGAAAACATTTTAACCATATTATATTTATTTTTAAGAGTGTATTTGTACACAAATCTAGTTACACGAAAGAATATACAGTATAATTAATGGGCTGATTACAATATTATAGTCTAATGGACCCCACACTGGAATTCCCTATGTCGTGAGGTCCAGTCCTATACCGTCAACAAAACCTACCAATGGTAGTTTTAATTATTTGTATCAAACTACCAAGAACAATGTAATAATCGGTTTTTGTATAATTTTTGTTTTGTCTGATGTTGAAATTAAATTATAATTTATTTTTAACATCAATAAATAATATCGTACAATTCATTCATTCACTCATTCTTTATTTAATAATATTGATAATTGTCTTTATTATTAAATAAAGAATGAGCGCTATACTATTTCACTATCACACAGTAAATAAAAGCGATATTTGAACTCTTTGCAATTTTTTAATTGTAACATTTCGCGTTCCTGCAATCTTTATGGGAAATATCGTAGAAAGAGACGGAAGTGTGTAGCAGGAAGTGGGGAAAGCGCGGGCTATTTAATTTGATTAGTCACCGCGCGGGGCGCTAGTTGTCCGACAGACGTTAGGTGAGATATCAGATATTACATATCATAATGTGAATACTACTGTGACTGTATGGTGATAGATACCACCAATCTCGGGTGAAACAAATCTGAGAGTACAGTAGCTAGAGGAATTTTTCAAATTGGTGCAGAAATCACGCCATGGACAAGTAACAAAAATAAAAAAAATTAAGAACTTTTTTTTTTCAAACGCTCAGTCAGTTCAAACGCCCACTACTGTAACTCCTATAACCAGAATCAACAGAAGGGACCCACGAACAAACCGAGTTGGAACCCGCAACGAATTTAATAAGAAGTACATTGGAGGATTTGGAAATATAAAAAAAAGCGGGAGACAAGAATGACGTAATAATAGGCACCCTATTAAACAGGGAAACCCCACAGACCAAAAACATCATCATCAACAGCCTTTAACAGTCCACTGCTGGAATGTTAAACTAGGCCTCTCCTTAGAAAGGAGGTTTTGGCCTACTATACCACGCTGGCCAGACGGGTTGGTATGGGATTTGTTTGAAGATTTCCTTATCTTTGCAGTGATGTTGTCCTGCATAGTTTGCTACTTTAGTCGGCTCTCACGACACCCACGGGATGGATCCCCCAAGTGACACTCCGTATTCTTAATCCATCACGGACACCAAAACGTTATGTATAATATACTTACCAGTAAAAACATTGAGAAACACAACAAAACTATAGGCGAATACGAGAAGATAATGAACGGTTCTCGTGTCCTGGGATATGTCCGCCCCCCACACCAGCATTGGCAACGTCAACAATATTGACACGTTCGCCAGAGAAAACGCTTTTAGTACTCGCAGTAGGGGCACTGGAACAAACAACACATTTTATTTTTAATATTGTAGGAAATTACATGTTGACTTTAAAAACAAAAAAAAAATCCTCACTTTTTTCTGCTTTTTGGAGAAATTTTCCCCTTTTTTCCCCTTTTTTTTTTTTTTCCGTGCGGAAATCCCCTCGGATACCACCTGTCGGTGGCATGTCGGACACGAACCGACTAAAACCGCACGCCTTCGCCGGGTACTAATAGCCGGGGAACCAGGTATACCCTAGAAAGGAAGGTCCTGGTGCCCCGACATACCTCGGGTCATCTACAGACGAGTAGACGACCCCCGCCCCGTGTGGGAACCCCATGTTCCCGGTGCTCCCTGGAAGCGAGCGCGCTTCGTAACGCGCTCGCCGCCACCCCGGCCTGCTTCTGCTAGGGTGACAGATGGCCTCACCTGTCACCCCCAGGCCTGCGCTTATGGAGGACGGAGGTCGTTCTGCGACCTCCGGCGCCTGAGTCGCCTGCGGTACCTGGCCCGTGCCCGGGCCTGGCGTGCCGGGAGAGTTCTAAACCTCTCCCGGTCCCGCTCCGCCGTCTCCTTCGCGAACATAACTTGCTCGCAGAAGAAGACGGCAGAGTTCCACGCACTCTCGCTCCGCACGATAGCCGCAATCAGGCTATCGAGCGAGAGAACTCTCACTCCGATGGCCGCCACGAGGTCTCGCCTCTGCTCAACCCACGCCGGGCACTCTGCCAGCGTGTGGAGAGCCGTGTCCATCGCAGTCAGTCAAGGTCTGGCCATCGCAGTGGTGGCACTCAGGCGTTGGCTCCTTGCGGATCAGACACAGGTGATCCCCGAAACATCCTTTTCCAGTGATCACCTGCGTCAGTCGGTATGAGAGGGTCCCGTGACGCCTCTCGAGCCAATCCTCCATAACGGGTCTTACCGCCGCGATGACGGCGTGCCCGTCCCCTTTTTTCCCCTAGCTATTCCTGATATATAAAAACGTGACATGACATGACACCCATTCCTCCTTCCTAATCCAAGTCGTTTTTTTTTTTTTGCTGTTTATTTATTATATTATTGCATTATCAATAGCTACTACAAAACTTACCTCCGTTCTGTGAACTTGTTGCAAGTCTCATTAAAATTTGTACCGATATTAGAAACACCAAAATACCTGAAATATTATGAAACAATAATTATTAACACAGTATCAAGAAATACAGTCAGTCAGTACTCTTAGTTTGATTTAACTGAAGTGACAATAAATAAAGCATAATAAAATTCTACCACATTAGTTACTTTGTAGTTCGGTGTGTCTTCGTTAGATGGCACTGCACGAAACACGTGTATTTTTCAGTTAAGTTTCTTAATTATCAACAGCCTCTACTAGTCCACTGCTGGACATAGGCCTCTATTTAGGAATGAGGTTTTGGCCTACTATACCACGCTGGCCAGACGGGTTGAAATAGGGTTTGTTTCAAGTTTTCCTTCTCTTTGCAGTGCTGTTGTCCTGCGCTGTTTATTCCCTCAGTCGGCTCTTAGGACAACCACGGGATGAATAGGGGAGGTGACACTCATTATTCTTAATCCGTCACCACACGAATAAATAAAAAGTACTCTTAATTATAAATTATTTTGTTCAAAATCGGATAGTTAATTTCTCAACGGTTACGTGTATAAACGTGTGGTGACGGATTAAGAATACAAATTGTCACCACCCCAATTCATCCCGTGGGTGTCGTAAGAGCCGACTAAGGGAGCAAACTAAGCAGGACAACAGCACTGCAAAGAGAAGGAAAACTTGACACAAACCCTATACCAACCCGTCTGGCCAGCGTGGTATAGTAGGCCAAAACCTCCTTTCTAAGGAGAGGCCTATGTCCAGCAGTGGACTAGTATAGGCTGTTGATGATGATGACGTTTATAAATAGTATAAACTATAATAGTAATAATATTCTACCACATTCACACAACGCCATCTAGTACGCCCCAAACTAAGCAGAGCTAGTACTATGGGTACTAGACAACTGATATAAATACATATATACTTTTATTTTGTGAACACATATCATGCCAAAACATATCATGCATACAAACACCCAGACCAAATCAAAAATTAAATCTTCATGCACACAAATGTTTGACTTCAGCAGGAATCGAACCTGAGACCTTTTGCCTAGCAGCCTGCTACACAAACCACTACGCCATGTGGCCATCATAAATAATTAATTTTTTTGTATGCATATGTAGTTTTGGTCGCAATATTGTAATATTTTTGGCTTTTGATTCATCTAGTTCGGTTTGCTTGGGATATTATGAGATCGTATGATATAAAAGCCAGGAGGTGAACTCTGAAAACCTTCCTATTGTTTTTGTTGGAAGTTTCAGTGCTTTTCATGGAGTGAGTGAGGCTGCTGAAGCAGAAATTTTCCCTTCCCCCTATATTTGTAGGGGAGTTGCAATGCATGTCGGGGCACCAGGGACTTCCTTTCTAGGGTATTCCTGGTTCCCCGGCTATTAGTACCCGAGACGGCGTGCGGTTTTAGTCGGTTCGAGTCCGACATGCCACCGATAGGTGGTATCCGAGGGGATTTCCGCACGGCAAAAAAAAAAAAAGGGGAAGTTGCAATGCACTTGTTACTCTTGACTCGTAGGTATCCATGGGAGGCGGTAGTCACTTATCATCAGGGATCCAGTCTGCTCTTTTGCCCCCTACACCATAAATGAGGAATTTCAGACTATTTTATCATCTATTCATTTACTGTCTGTGTACACACACAGATTAATTTGTGGAGGAAATTCGATCTGATCAGTAACATAATAAATGTCACAAACCTGACAATATGGAAAGGAATTGTATGTAAAAGTCCTTCTCCCATATAAAGAGATCTGTGTCATCTTTCTCAATCTGTTCCCAGGCCCAGCAGTTCGTCTTCCAAGAATCTGGTACTGTCACGTTTATTAATTTACTTCTGAAATACACATTTATATATATTGAAGTAAAAAACTGATTAATCAATATGTCAGCTAATTTGAACAATAATTGAAAAACAATTGAAAAATACATTTTATAGTTTTTTATTTTTTTCATTTTGACATTTAATTCTGACATTCTATTTCATTTTTGACATGTTATAGCAAACATTCCTAGCTCATATAATTATATTGTTGTATTGATGATTATTGTGTTATTCATGAAACTAATTTAATTACTATTGTCAAAATATACCCTCAATCAATTTATATTTGTACGCCGTCCATGGCAAAACATGTTGATACACAACAACTAACCTACTGAACTGTTTAGGATTCATTTCCTGTAAACTACACATGTTCGAAGCAAATAAATATTTATTATTATTATTAACAACATAGCTGACTGCATGGAAATGTATACCTAATATTTACAAACAGTGTTTTTAATTTTTGACGTGACAACGTCTTATAAATTGGTTTGCCGGGTGACACTTCAAGAAACTGCGTTACGCTCCGCTCACGTTATGCGCTCACAATGAGAGCGAGTGAGAGGCACGCGTCCCTTCCAATCGGGCATGGTTAGCCCGCCTAAGAGCGAGAGAGACAGACATAGTCGTTGTCACGTAAAACTTTCGCCCGTATACCGACTTTACAGGCAACCAATTTTTTATTTTATTTGCTCAGTGTTACTCTCACAATTAAGACGAATCTAATGATGTATATCCGTGACAAGCAGTTTGGCAATTCTAACTGAATTGCTAAATTAGCTGAAATAAATGAAAGTTTCTAAATGAAATGGAAATGAAATTCATTTATAACTCAATAAGTACAGAATGATACATAAGGTAGTGGTTATTATGATAATAATGTACTAACATATTAGTTGTATTGACATTCTCAAAGCCGCATACAGAGTTCACCACTATGTTGAACAGGCTATCGTTGCGCCACACCCCATACGTCTCCAGCATCATTAATATAATAAGCAGCTTCCAAAATGCCTGGAATTTGAAAATACATTACAATTAAATCAAATCAAGGTAGATTATTGCAAAATTTACAGCTTGGTTTATACTATGCAATAGCATAAAACCTTCCTTACCCGACGACAACAACAGGATATAAGACATCAACAAAAATAAATATTAAGATTTTTAGTGAATGCGTAATATAATGGGAGGCGGTAGTTACTTACCGTCAGGTGCCCTGTCTGCTCTTTTGCCCCCTTCACCATAAAAAAGGAATTTCAGACTATTTTTACTATTTACCATTTATTCCTTTACTGTCACACTGTGTGTGTGTGACAGCTGGATGCGAGAAGCCCAAAATCAATCTAAGTCATGTGCAATGCGAGAGGCCTATGTCCAGCAGTGGACTGCGATAGGCAGATGATGATGATGATAGAGAATGAGTATAATATGTATTTTAAAGAAAAGTGTAACAAACTCTTTGAGATTTAGCCAACTAGTTTTTTGTAGTTGGCAGGCAGCTTAGGTATGAAAATTAATTTTAAACTTAGTATATTTTAACTGAAATATGTATGTTTTATAGGCTACTAGGTATGTTTATCGGCAGTCTAGATACCACAGTATCGGTACAGACTTGGGTTGGTTTGGGATCAGATGACAGTATATATCTCACACACTACAGTACTGTCTGGTCCTCCTCAAGTGCTTTTTATGGCACTTGAACTATTCTACAGAGTAAACTTAATATCGTGCATATTTCTGAAAACATTACACATACCTTAAATTCTGTGTTGTATAAAACATGCCTCTGTGCTTCTTTGGACATCAACACTAAATCGATCATCACTATGACTGGATCATATTCTATATACTTGTCAACTATTCCTTTGCAACTCTCCTGAAATAATTAAAATTTAGAATGTGTTAAAAATCTGTTATCCTCCTGAACGCGGTTTGTTTAATCTTCACAGATTTAAAAGACAACAACTACTAGTTGATGCTGAAAATAATGGTTTATAATTAAACCTATTTAGTTCAATTTTCTTTGATAAATATCGTAGGGACAGTTTTCTAATAAATTAACAACGTCTTATCTACTACACCTACATCTTATCACTTACACATTTAGTGAGCTTTAATACTGTAGGACTATATATTTTATAAAGTGCAGCGGCTGGTTTACCACAGTTTACACATCTATAAATGTGTTTTTCAGTCATGTTTTTGAGCTATATTTTTCATGAAAAGGTAAACATTGCAGGCGCAATATTGAGATTTGATTGCTAGCAAGTGTCACTGTCACCTATTCTTAAACTTGCCACAATTATGTTTCCAAAACAACTAAATCAATTAAGGTAAGCTCCGGTCTCATTGTTTTTTTATAACAATATGTTTTTTTGTTTCTTTTTTCTGTTTTTTTTTTATATAATCTACATAATATACTTATTATATACTACATATACTTCAAATATATTTTACAAATTAGCTTTCAAACGCTTTACTGAGTAATATTTCAGGAAAAATAAAACGTACTCTAGCTACCTTCTGTCACTGATTTCTTTGCAGTTCAAGAGGAATGATCTAGAGGGCGTTCTTGCGAATAACAAATTTTTTTTTCGTTTTTTTAGAAAGATCTCTAATGTACATTTGAGAAATGGTAATAAATATAGTGTATAGTGTATTATTATTACTATTATATAAATTTACATTAGTTAAGGCAACTGCTTGGGTTCACTCAGAATCATAGTACATCAGCAGACTAGTTACGGCATTATTTTATCCGATAAATAGAAGAAATAATGTGTATAGTTGATAAATATGACGAAGTTGATGATATGTTGTGTAAGTAGTTACGGAACATGTAAACATTATTTCTATGAAGATATACAACTACTGAAGTCCGTCCCGTTTTTTTATAACTCCAACAAAGAGCTAAAATGGACTAACGTGAAATAAAGAATGGACGACGAAATGCTTAGGAAATATGGTTGTATAGGTTAATAAACGTTTTGTTAACATTTTGCTTACACACAACATCACAGCTTTTTTATTGTTGTCCTGAATTATTATAGGTAGGTACTGAATCCTTTTTACTGGACATGTTCGGCTACTATAACGATCACTTGTTTTAACATATTATAATATCCCGGTGGGTCACCTGTTGGTAAGTGGCTTGGAGCCACCCGCAGCTTTTGAGATACAAGTGCTAAAAAAACCTCTGTGTGCCCCCCTCCTCTTCAAATGAGGGTCAAGGGGGTTGGGAGTGTTGACCCTCTGGTAAGCTCGGTGAAAAGCAACGAATTACTTTATACCGGTTTCCTGTAAAATCCTGGGATCATCCCGGCCGAACCGAAGCCTGCCGAAACCGAAGGTTTGGACTGCGTCACAATACTTATTCATAGATCAAATTATTGAATTTTGTTTCAAAATAATTAAATGTAAATGTATTTATTATTCTGTTCATGTCTTATTTTCTTACGAAAATAGCAATATTGATATGCATGGAAAAATCGTTTTTATTTCGATCAAATGTTTCTTACCCTAAATGTCAGGGGCTGTTACACGATTGTATATATTTTACTTCATTGGCATTCATGAATGAATAATAGCATATATATCTACGCATAAGTATTTATTCATATTTCTCTGAATAGTTGATGATAAAATATTACAAGTTGAGTTATATACTTAATTAAATTTTGATTTTAAAATTTCTTGTTTCATATTGTAGATCTAATTTCAATGTTATTTTGCATAAGTACCTACTACATCTATGGAGGAACGGCCGTTTTATTCCTCCAAAACAAAGAGGATAGGCGTAGTGATAAAGCCTGCCAGGCCGCGGGATTAATGTTGGGAAGTTGTATAATATACCCAGTGAGCGTGAGAACTTTCATTGCACGACACAGGATTAGTACTTACTCCGCAGTTCGATGTATCTTCGTTAGATGGCAGCATAGTTCTGTGTCGTTGTATGTGGAAGTCGCCATAGCTAGCACACAATAGCTAGTGTATTATTTATTGGGGAGTTGGCGCTCTTCTTATCTTTATCGTAATCAAAGCCTTTGCACTCATGCCCGTGGTCGTAAATACACGCTTGGTCACATTTGGAGGATTCTAAATCTTTTTCATATAAAAAGCTTACGGCTGATGAGGTAACAGACTGTCGTACCTACTTACCTCCTGTATATGAATTCTCTTAAATTCCAACAATACTGCTTTGAACAATTATAATATATATATAATATATACGATAGCGGTTGTTTACGATCGATGATAGGATGATTGACAGGAAATTTAATTTTCTGCAATCATCAATCACAGCCTTTACTAGTCCACTGCTGGACATAGGCCTCTCCATAGAAAGCAGGTTTTCTGCAATATTGGTACAGAAATATTACTGACTGATTCTTTTTTCATTTGAACATGCCAAGTCGCTTTTTAGTCACGGGTATAGTATTATATAATTTAACGACGACGGGCCTGTTGGTCTAGTGGTTAGTGACCCTGACTGCTAAACCAGGGGTCGTGGGTTCGATTCCCACCCAGTACAAAAATTGTATGATGAGCACGGTCATTTGTTCTGTATCTGGTTTTAATTTATCTAAAACCAGCTAAGACCCGCGGTGTTACCCGCGTTTGTTGTCATAACCGCGGGCAACGCCGCGGGGCGAAGCTAGTCTAAAAAAAGTAGTCTAAGTTACTCCTTATGTCATCAGCTATCTGCCAGTGAAAGTCCCGTCGAAATCGGTCCAGCCGTTCCAGAGATTACCCGGAACAAACAGACAGACAGACAGACAGACAGACAAAAATTGTAAAAAATGTTATTTTGGCATATGTACCGTGTAAACATACATATGCATTTAGTAAAAAGCGGTTATTTTAATATTACAAACAGACACTCCAATTTTATTTATTTGTATAGATATGTATCTATTAAAAAATATATAAGGATGTTTATCAGCAGTCTGGTTACCATAACACAGGCTCTGCCTAGTTTGGGATCAGACGGCCATGAGTGAAATATATTATTACTAAAAAAAAACAATAACTTATCACTTATCGTATCTAAAATACGTATGATAAAAAACTGGCTCATATCTCGCTAGTACTTAGAGTATATGCTAAAAACTTGTAAGAAAAGTGCCTGTACCTACCCTCACTTAAGTTTTAACAAGCTTAAACATAAGATACCTTTGCAATATAAATGTAAATTTTTACCAAAGTACTGGGGTCCGAGAAACCAACGAAGTGCCACTTTTATGGACCCAGGCTAAGCCGAATTTTAATAAAATAACTCAAGACGGCTTCCATAAAAAACAACTTTGAATATGAAGAATACTTTGATGGGTTCGGTTCATATTAAAAAAAATGATAATATTAATCATTCTGTTGTGTGAAGTTTTTCTTTTGCTCGTTAAGACATATTTTTGTGCGTATTAACTTTATTTTATATCTGTGTTACGACAGAAGGTGGGTAGGAATTTGGTATTTAATACATTATGTTAATCCATACTAATATAAGACTGAAGAGTTTTAGTTTAATAGCTCTAATCACTGGAACTGTCATTTAGATTTGAATAGTTGTCTTTGGTACTGGACAGAGTATTTAAAACACCACTGACTCATAGACGCGGGGAAGAAAAAATAGACTACAGCTGTAAGTTTTGAAAATGTAAATGTAAGTAGATAACACCAGGATTCCTCTATGTTTTATGTACTTCTTTTTTTCGGAATGTCAATAAAATACATTATTCTTGAAAAGAGAACAAATATACTAATGAATGAATTTATTAACTTTGAATGAAAATGAACTGAAGACCAATTCTCGTAATAAAAGTTCGTTCACAATTCAGTTCCGATCAACTTTCGATTTCACAACTGTTATAAAAGGTATTTTCGTAGTAAAGTATTAAACGTCCAACGTTCACTGTAAACTGATGAAAATTGAATCGGTAATCGGCTAGTCTTAGTAATACTTTAATGATAAGATATTTAAGCTCAAACATAACGTTATTATTATGCGTTTTGTTGTTATAGGTTCGATATCGCCTAGTACTTGGTAGCTGTTGCTGGGAAAAGTATTTTAAAACGTTTTAAAGGCTAAAATTGTATAGTAACCTTTCCAGATCTCTTAATACAACATATTTTGCTAGTGTGAACTAACAGTGTATATGTACTAACAGTGAGTTTAGTTCTATAAGAAACAGCATTACATTTTGGAGTAGCTTTAAACAACGTATAAATTAAGATAAAGGATATTCCACTTAAGAATAATTTGGATTTGTTGCATTATTTAAACGTCTTGTTACTTTATAACATAGTTCCAAAAAAGTATGTACTGTCAGATTCATATACCTACCTGTTACTTGAACCGACTATTACCAAAAAGTCTATACTATACCGTCTAAATCCAGTGACATGTTTTTATTAGTAGGTACTTCTCGCTTTTCCAACCGCAATATCAATTTCGCTTTCATGAAAATAGCACTTCAGTGCGGCCTCTATGCAACATAGCGTTTATGCTTCAAGACTTTTTTCAAATCAATGTTACGATTCAGAATATCTTCTTAAAGTTATGTTATTGTACTTTGATCTTATTTAAATTGTGAATTAAGGTACGATATGTTTTGTTTGCCCGGTCGTTACAGGTAATTAGAGCCTTAAAAGTACAACAACAGTCTTTCTACAGAATGAAGACCTCGCCTAGTACTTGGGTTGTGGTCTGATGCCAATCGAAGTCGAAGTTCTGCCCATAAAACAACTTTGGAAAAAAGGCTCGAAGGGAGATCTTTTGTTTGTTCGAATCGTTTTGATCGAACTGCACCAATTATGGTCACGGGTAGACTAAAATTAAGATGAGAACTCTATTGTGTCGTATGATAACTTTACAGGATAAAAGAACAATCAGCGCCGAAAACCACACCCTCAAAGAGTTCAGGAATGGGTGTCGAGCCCCCGGTAGCCACGCTAAAGAGCAACGAGAGAATTGCTCAACAGCGTTTTTCAGCGTGGCACTCCACTACGGTCAAGTTGGCTAACATGAGTCTCCTCGATTAGCATTCGTAAAATACACTCGTGAATATCGTGTATGCCTGGTATCGAGTTAAACCTTCCGATTAGTTGTATCCATATCGTATACTTTAAAAACGCCTGTCCGGTCAGTTTATTCCATTAGGGGCGGTCGAGCGCGGACCGCGTACTCCGCTTTTGGGCCGAT